GTCTGCCTGTTCTGTCTGTTTGGTTGTTGATCTGCTCGTCTGTCTTGTCTGCTTTGTTTTGTCGGTCATCTGTCTGTCTGCATTTCTCACCCCCTATCTGTCCGTCTGCATTTCTGTCTGTTTCGCCTGCTTCCCGTCTGTTTTCTGTCTGTCTGCTGCACCTTTTTTTTTTTTTTTTTTTTTTCTGTGTGTGTGTGATAAGTATACCTGTGGGGTATCCAACATGGCCCTGTGTGTGTGTGCCAGTTTAGTGTGAAGCCTTAGTCGCAGGTATGTGAAGTGAAGAAGGAAGCAAGTCTGATTCCAACAACAACAACAATAATAATAATAATAATAATAATAATAATAATAATAATAATAATAATAATAATAATAACAATAATAATAATAATAATAATAATAATGATAATAAAGCAAGGAAAATGAGAAATAGCAAGATGACAAATATTCAGATTGCATAATCATTTTGGTAGCCAGGGCGTATCACAGTGTTCTGAATGCAGCATTGCATCAGCATAGCACCGATGGAGTACTGAAACTGGCGCCCAGGGGAGTATACCCCCTCCACACCAACACGAGAGTCACATCACTTTCCTACTTGCGATCAACGCCCAACCTACCCCTTCACAGCTACTGCAGCCCGCGAATCGACAATGCAACTGTTGACATCAGCGGCAATCCGAAGTACTCGAAGAAGTCGCGTATGCAGACCATCGCCTACAAGGTAAGTGCCCTCACGTCATCATCATTATCACAGTACCAACACCGGTATCCTACCTGGCGTTCGACATTCAGATTAAGAATGGCAGATCCTACCTAGCCTACCTACAGAGCTGCCGATGACGTCACCAGCTCCTCTCAGCGGTACAGTCGGAACTGCTCCGATGCTCCTTGCCTCCCCCGTCCGATTAGCGCAGCCCCCGGTCGCACCCCGACTCCGACCGGCTTAGCGACAGAGCACCTCTGTCAGCGCCCGCTCATACGACGTCCGCGCCCAACAAAAGCAGTCTGCAAAGGCAAAGACAAAAAAATGGAGGACATCGAGGTCCCTTCCTCGACTTATGCGTGTCACTCATGCATGGGGGCCACGTCGATTTTCTCTGTATCGTTCCAAATTTTAACGGATATCCCGAAGGACTCCATCGGGGCAATGCCCCTCGGTACCTCCGAAAGCAAGGTGGCTCGTGCGCCAGGCCTCCCGCCAAGGACCGGGATTCACTCTCAGGCAGCCCCAAGGTTGGCCCACTGAGACCCCTCCCCAGCCTGAGCCCGACCGCGACCTATAAGCCAACACCCACTGTGCTAATTCTTGGGTTTTCGTACCAGTCACAGTACCGTATTTCAGAACGAAGCGGAACCACCAAAAAAAAGAAAAGGATATAGAAACCGGCATATAGAGACTATAAACGGGGGGGGGGGGACTGCTGGCACCTCGCCAGTCCCGTGAGTCGGACCCGTTGCCGTGCCTACTGGCAAAACTGATGGGGATGGCTCGTCGGGCCCTCAACCCCTCGGTCTCCTTCATGCCGCTCCGCTACTCCCTCGTCGCCGCATGTCGGCCTCGATCTCCAGACCCGTGTGTCACAATTCCACTGTCATAGCCTATAGGGCTAAGCCCAAGTCCGAGACCAGCGTGAGCATAAACTGCTGCAGCGCAATGCCCCTGGGCCGGGAGAGCGCCCTGGGCTTCATCCCCTCTTCGCAACCAAGCGCGCGACTGCTAAACTTCCGTGCTGGGTTGTTCAAATTGTGTCGTGGCTGGCACTGGCCGCCACGCGTGCCATCCTGCACGCCAAACTCCGTGCTGGTCAGGCGTGCTATTGAAAGACACGAACCCTTCAAAACCTTAGTTTAATAAAAAATAATAATAATAATAATAGGTGGCTGGCATCCACGCCAGCCCTCAGACTTATCAATTCTAAGAAAGACCACACCCGCCTCAAGTCTACGCGCCCACGCACTCTTTATCTCTAGTCACACCTCTAATCAGCGTAGAGTCGTAGACAAAGGATTGTCGCACCTCACGCGGTCTACTCTTAGATTCCGAATCAAATTCATTTCCTGTCACCTACAAAAACCCAGGGCGGATACCCTTGTAAGGGTATTCGCGCCGACAACTTACCGGACCATATTAAGCGACGTCCCCGTCGCTCCGCCAAATCAGAAGGCTATTAATCCATCCACATTCCAAATGCTGACGAGAAAGGAACCAATCTGATTAGCCAACAGACTCGGGGTTGAGGCCTCCAACAACCTGTGCCAACATAACTATATGCTGCCAGGGTTTCAACCTGGGTTTTCATTGTCCTGACATTAGGACGTCGGGGTATTACACATCAATATTACGGCATAAGTTCCAAAGGCCCCCTCAAACCGTCCTCTTCCCTTTGTCCTAGATAAACGTCGGCTTCTCGTTGAGTGTCCCGGCCAGACCCTCTCTCATAAGCAGAGTCATACCCAGGGACGCGGGCCTTAAACGGGACCTCAGAAAGCATTATCGCCTTCCTTGCAAAAATCTCTCACAATCAAACACACATGCATATATACACTTAAATCGCATCTCAGCTCTTTCTGCAGTCTAATACAGAAATGCTCGGTTCCCATTCTCGCCGACCATAGACTAGATCCACGGCCTATCACATTGTTATCTTAGCGACAGTATGCTTCGTTGGTTATGCAACGATAGGTTTTCTCCTGATAAGCATTCAATCAGGACTTCCAAAAAGACTCGACTCGTATGCCCCGCCATCCCATCGGAGTAATTCCCTGAGGCGTGCATAACCCCTTGAACTCTTACCCCTTTGGTAGACGAGGGTCCACTGCCAGGTCGTGCTGGCAAGCAACCATCCACTAGGGGTTGCGCCCTAGAGGTGCTATCCTTTACTGTCTAGCTTGGTCTTCCTCAAAATGCCTCAGGATTAACACCAGTGTTCGGGCAGTGTGTCGCAACAAACCACAGGCCCACTGCGGGACTACGCAGGGGTCTGTCTCACATAAAGGCGTTTACTTGTTCCCTATGGGACAACATAGAGAGCACGACACCCTTCTCACAATCATAAACAAGAATCACCGCTAGGTTCACAAGGCCGAGGCCCCTTGACTTGATCAGAGACAACATACCACACATCCCAATGACATTTACCGAATGCACTAATTTGCGACACATTCAAATCCATCCAAAACAAAGTCTTTGCTTACCATGCCCTCAAATCTATTAACCACCTTTCACTCGAAGGAGGTCTCTCTCAATAGGTATCCCAGTCATCCCTCTCTTTATAGGATGAGCTATCACGCGACCCGTTTTAAAACACCTTCCCTTTTTGAAGATGAGTCTTCCAATAAACAACATCACCACCCTCCTTAATTTGAAGGAGGCTTCAACCATAAAACAAATCAAACTGGGGGAGCAACTTATGGGGTTTCTTCACAACTCAACCATAAAACATTCGGCATGGTAGGCAGACTCGCAAAATCCCTTAGGATTCTCACGCTTCTGTCACAAAACCACCGCACTACCTCCCCTTATACTCGGCCCTTTCACCCGCCCGTAGGCAGATCGCACGAGTATACCGAAGAGTAGACAACATTCACATTCACACAAATATGAGACGTATCCCACACATCTCTCACACAAAGCCACCATACATCAAGATAAAACCACACATGCGAACGTGATAGTGATCGCCACAAAAATAGTCTCATGAGGTCCGAACTCAAAAATACACTTAGGAGATACAAATACTCAACCCATCGTCCCACCCATCTGAGTAGAACACATGTTCTTAATGTACAACTCGACGAAAACACTCAGGGATACCCAGTCCACTGTCTCACTCCCGCTGAGTAAACTCGTGCCCTAAGTGTTACAAACTCCCAAATCTACTCAAAAATACAAAAAAACCGAAATTACAGGAATTAAAACGTAACTGAATGCTCACCCATATCACACAAGCGAATGCTAGGTCCTAGTCATATAACCGAGAGTCCCCAGACCTATCAAGTACTGCCTCCTATCCAAACACAGCTGGACAGGGTTCACTCGACTGACTCGGGGTATGTACATCTCTAGGACTCATCTCCTATACACAAAGGGGGATTCTAGCCCTACTGTCCCATAGACAAACCAGCCGCTGCTCACTCATTTCCTCCTGGTTTTGCCTATATAGCTGAGCCCTACCCCCGTCTGCAGTCCGCTCTACTACCCTGCCCTGTCTGTCGTAGAACCTTCCACCTCTCGCTGTAACCCGTCCTGTCGCCTCGTCCTTGAGAAACCCCTCGCACTGCAGAGCCCAATGCCCTTCCTCCTTGCAAAAGAAATAGTACGAGTCAAACCACTTTTTGGACTTCTCCTTCCCCTGGGGGTTCGGAACCGATGACACCCCCGCTGCTTCAGTGGCCTTCTCGTAACATAACGACACTCCTATGCAACCTTGAGGTCCGGGCTCCGCGGCCCTGGCGCCCTCACTACCTCGTGCGCCCGCGCCCCCTGGCCTATACTTAGGCATGTCTAGCCTCTGGAGTCTCTCTAGCGACATGTCTACATCCATGGCCGCCACTAGTTCATCCAGGCGAGATGTTTCCTCCTCCATCGTTTCAGGCTCAGTGGGTGCTACCGCCCCTGTAAGGGTGCCTCCCCGCACTTCCAGCAGGACCGTAGGGGACTCTTCGGTGGAACCTCCTTCTGCTGGTGGAGATTGGGGTCTCTGGGCTGGCTCTTCCGCAAGGATCTCAATCGACATAGGAGTCGCCTGCTGCGAGGCCAACTCCGTAGGAACCCTAAAACAAAAACTCTCATCTTCAGCTTTCCTCTTGGTCTCTTCTTCCGCTGGATCTAGGAACACCTTCTTCATCTTTTCCTGCTAAGGTGGCTTTACCGCCCCTCCATGGCTAAAGAGTCCCTGCACCTCCTCTCCCTGGATGCCATATCGACTCTGCTCTGTCCAGTCGACCACCTTGGTGGTCGAAAGCCTCTCCACTGTTGCCGCTATGTCTTGGAGCCTCTTCTCCCATTCAGCTTCCTTGGCCTCCATACGAAACCTCCAGGCTTGGTTCTCCGCCTTCTCCTCTGCTAGCTGAGTAGTCAACTACTCCACCTCCAACCTCGAGGCCGCCAGCTCATCATTGAGTATGGTATATCGCTGGAAAGACGTAGTCGCCGCCTGGCGTATCCTCCTCTCTGCGCGCTCAATCCCCATCCCGGCAGCTGAGAATCCCAAGTCTCTAGTCTCCCTTACCTTGTCCGCCTTCTCGTCTTCCTGTCCTGCCGCTCGTGACCTCAGGCGACCGGCATCCTTCCTGCCTTCATACCTGGCCCACGCCTCACCAATCCTCTGCTCACTCGTCCCGGGGTCAGTTGGCGGTATCGACGCCTCTCCTGCGGCCTCCATCCTGATTTTTTTCTCATATATTTCAGTGAGGCGCGCCTGCACCCTTGCGGACTTCTCCTCAGTCGTTTCCCCTGATAGCCTTCTCGCTCGCGCCTCGTGGACCTCTCGGAGCGGAACCTCTGCACTCACTCCTTCCTCTGCATGCGGCAACTGTGGCGGTGGCTCATCGGAGACTGGCATCTCAGTATCCAAGTGCTCGGCCGCATGCTCGGCTGGCTGCGAGGCGACAGTCGTACGCGCCCCCGCCCTCTCGCTCTCCTCTTGTTCCCCTGGCTCTGCCCCTTTTGGGGGCGAAGTGATAATTTCCGGAGGGGGTACTAGAATCTCCTCACTATCCGACTCGGGAATCCCTTCTGGCGAGGGCCGCTGGACCTGCTCCGGGGCTGGGGTATGAGGGGGAGTATCGTCTCCAACGGTAATGACCTCCTCTTCCTGTAGCTCTCCAGGCTCACACTGCTCAGTCCCTGGATCAGGGCCTTGTAACTCCTCTGCCAGCTCGTACCACGCTGGCTCAACCGGACCTGCTCCTAGTTGCGAAGTCCCCCATTGAGACGCATCAAGGTGGGCCTCCAGACTTCCGAGCGGCGTCTCGAATGGTACACCTTCCCCTTCCTCTGGCAACTTCGGCGAAGGGTCCCGTAGGTCACTGCCCGTGATTTGACGAAACTCCACTTGCTCAAGCCCATGATTAGGGTGTGGCTCTGTTGCCTGAGCCGGCTCCGCTGACTCCTCCTCGCGTTGCGCCAAGGCCTTCCGGCCCCTCCTAGCCACAACGGCTCTCCTCGCCTCTGGATCCCATGGTCTCTTACTTCTTTCAACCCTAGGTTCTGGTCTCTCCGGCTCTGGCCGTCGGAACGCCTGTCTCAATTGAGCCTGACAATCCTCCCAGTCACGCGCTCTGTCTTGTAGCTGCCTTGCGAATGACCTTTCCGCCCTCCGTGTCCAGAGGAGCAATGTCTGCATCCATTCTTCGTGCGTGGTTCCCTGGTCGCGCATATACTGCTCATAGGCTGGGATGAACTCCTCCGCATTGCCCTCCTCCAAACGGATGGGTAGACCATCGCGCCCCACTGGCGAAGCCCTCAGCCGCTGCATCCTTGCCTCCACGTCCGACCAGGTCAACGCCTCCTCTCGAATGTGCGCGATGGGCTCCTCAAAACGCTCAACCCCTCTCAGATTTCGTATCTTCTCTAAGGTAGACCACCCCTCTCGGGTTGCATGAGCATGGTAGGTGTCTAGGAAGAGCTTTATGTTATCATCGTCGAAGACAGGCGTGGACTCTCTCCCAAATGGCCTGCGCTGATCATCCCCTCTAGATGCTCCTTGGGGCCTTTGTCGCGGCCGTGTGCCCCTCCCGCCCCTCTGCATGACTGTCTTCGGAAAGTCAGACCTGCACATCAGGCGAGAGAAAGCAGACAGGCACACAACAAGGTCAGCCATCAAATCCATCAAGTCTCACGACAACACATATACCCCTACCCTTTTCACTCCCTACCTGGTCTAACCAGGACATGCGACACCTTAAGACAGTGGTTTATTCTGAGGGGCACGAAACTCTTTACCTATTCCCTGGCCACAAACTTCTTTAACCTGGTCCCTGACACCCAATCCTGCCATCCTATTCCATCCAGCTCCTCGATCTGGTAAGCTCCAAATTCCCCGCATCGTAAGATCTTATAGGGCCCCATCCACCTTTTACCGAGCTTTCTCGAGCACTGCTTCTCCAAAGAGGAGTCATACAACAATACAACATCCCGAACCGCCAATGGTTCCTTCCTCACTCACGCCATCTGGTCCCATCGCATCTTATCCTACATGCAGCTCCTCTCTACGTGATTGGCGGCCTCCCGCAACCTTTCTTCAACCGCTCCTACCTGTCGTGCCCGAATATCGAGCAATTCTTCGAAGGACAGGTTAACTTCCAGGTCTTGGCGCCTTCAGGTCTTCATGAAACTTTCTATGGGAAAGGTGGTATGCCTCCCATACCATAGCGTGGCCGGCGCGTACTTGGTAGTTCTCTTCACCGTAACATTCTCCACGAAGAAAGCTACTCACAGGAACTTCGGCCACGGACCAGGCCTGCCTTCTGTCCACTTGGCTAGGAGGTTCGTGATGGTGCTGTGTCCCCTTTCCACAGACGCATTTGCTTGAGGATGTGCAGCAGTAGTATAATTCGCCGCTACGCCATACCCCGCAAGCAAAATCCGCACCTCGTTACAGGTGAACTCTGATCCTCGATCCATCACGAACTCTTTAACAAAGGGATAGCGCAGATAATGGAGTTCGTTAAAACTGGGCCGGTCTTTCTGCGAATAGCCCGACCGTCAACAAACCCAGTAAGTTTATCTCGCGCATCGAAGATGAAATTACACCCATTCTCCCCAACCGGCATGAAGAGCAGATCTAGATGTACGACTGCACCCACTTCTCTCTCCAACCTTGGGTGCAGGGGCTCCCCTGGTCTTTGTGCCGACCTCTCCTGGCAAGGTACACAAGACTGGCAGTACTTGATGACCATGTTCAACATCCCATCCCAGTAGTATAGCTCGCTAATCTTCGCATGCGTGGCGCTTATTCCCCTATGCCCTCCTGCTATACCATCGTGTAATGCTGCAATGATGTCGATCTGTCGGTTCCTCCCGCATACAACTCTCTTGGGATTCCCGACCTGTCGCTTTATGAACAGATGACAATCTCTTACTACATAGAGATGCCTCATCTTCTGCGCCTTAACACTTGCATCTCTATCCCTCATCTCACAGGACAGGAGCAGTTCTAACTCCAGGTAGATTCCATCGTATTCTTCCGCACGAAAGACTTCCTTGATCTCTCCTTCCTTGAATTCATCATCCCGGCTTTCAGGAACAAAGTTCTCGCTCTCCATAGGACTGAATGAGCTCTTTCGATCAAAGTCTCCCTGCAGAAGCGTATTTGTAAGCAGATACATCCCTCCCATCAACTGCTCATGCTCCTCTACCTGGGTAGGACCTTCCTCTATAGTCCTTATTTCCTCTGCCAAACTATGTGTACCGGCCAATGCCAACTTCATCATCTAGTGAACATCCTTCCCCAGGGATCCTCCTCTTGAAAGAGCTTGAGGACCAACTCCTTCTTCTGCTCATACCCCCTGGGCGCTAGCCATATGGGGTGACTGACGCAATTAGGTACTCGCAAGGACCATTCGTTTATATGGAGGCGGACGGACGTCTTCTTCTTGGTCCAAGAACCCACCAACTGGTAGAGTGTCTTCTATCGACTCTTGATCTAACCCATCCCAGTTGATGTGGCTCAACCCATCTGCCCTGTTCTTGTCCCCTGGAATTCTCTCCAGTTCGAAGTTAAACTTCCAAATGTACGTCAACCATCTTACGACGGTTGGGTCAGATGGAGCATAGTTATTCAGGGAACAAGTGAGCGTAGTGGGATCCACCCTTAATATGAACCTCCTGCCAAAAACATAGTTCCGAAAGATGCTCAGGCAGTGGAGTACCGCAAGCGTCTCCTTTTTAAACTGAGAGTAGTTCCTCTCAGTCGTATTAAGAGTCCGACTCTCGAACCTTAGCAGTCTTTCCTTTCCTTCAGCATCTGCCTGAACTAGGACTCCTCCCAGGGCAGTTGGCCCAGCGTCCGTCTCGATGGTGAATGACTTCTCCTCAGTGACTTCATAGTTAGGCGCTCCCAACACCAGGCCTCCTTCTTTGAACTCCTCTTTCATCCGCTTCACAGCCTCTTCCTGATCTCCACCCCAAACCCATTCTTGATCCTGGCGCACCACCTTCCTTAAATGCTCAGTCTTGGCGGCAAAGTTCTTCACGAAACTCCTCAAAAATCCACAAGTGTCGAGGAAGCTCCTTACGACCATTATTGAACGGAAGGGTACTGACCACTCCACGATTTTGTCTGTCTTTTTCACGTCAGGACTTCGGCCACTCTCATTACAGACAAAACCCAAAATGGTCACTTCCCTCATGCAATGTTTGGACTTCGGGCCACTCGCTGTAAGGTTGTACTCCCCCAACAGGCTCAGGACCTGATCAAGGTCCTCGACATGCTTCCAAACGAAACGCCTTACTCCGGGCATCACTTCGCCGTCCTCCCTTTCTTTCGGGCCTTTAACCGCCAAGTCGTCGATATAGGGTTGGGTGATGTGTGGGCTAACCGTCTGCATGGCTCTAATCATATGTCTTTGCACCATTGCCACTGCATTCGTCAAGCCTTGGGGGGCTATATTCATATGAATTAGCCATCTGGGCGTATGCATTATCGTTACAGGTCTGTCTGACGGATATACAAGAAACTGGTCATACCCAGAATAGAGGTCTATAGGTGAGATTATAGGCCTTTCTGCATACGACTCTAGCAATGCGTCCGCGTTCGGCAACCCTCCCGCGTCTCGCACCGTTACCGCGTTTAACCGTTGCAAGTCCTGTACCCACCGTAGCGTCCCATTTGGTTTGACAAAACAAAACCAAGGGGACGCATACGGCCCGCTGGAATAGTCGGCAACATGCGTGCGCATCTTGCCATCTAGGTAGTCCACCACTATCTTCTCCTCATCTGGGTTGGGATACCACGCGCCTCTCAGATTCCATGGTTCGTGTGGGACCGTGTGGATCCGAATCATCGGAATCTTGTCCACGTCCAGCCTTCCACGCTGATCATCATTAAATGCATACGCGCGGTGCCTCTTTTTTATCAATCTCACCATCAGAGCTCTTTCTTGGGGTGAAAGGAAGTCGGGCTCCCCAATTATTAGCTTCTCTTCGTTTCCCTCATTGATACAACATGGACCGCTTGCTGCCTGCTCCCGCATACGCCGTATCAATCCTCGTTCCCGCTCGTAATAAGCCTCCTCATCTTCTGTAATGAGCACGGAAACTGGGCGACACTTCTTGTCTATCGTTTTGTACCGCCTTTGGGAGCCCTACTTAAGCCGTCCCCTAAAAAAGGTCGGCTTGTGGTTCGTGCCTGTGCCATCGCAGGGCCTCCCCTTCCGCCTGAAAGCTGATAAACGAGCTCCACCTCTCCCACCTGAGGGCTCTCCAAAACCTGCTCCCTCAGCGCTCTAATGGCCTCGGGGTCTGCCATATCATGCGCTGCCACTATCTCCATAGCCTTATTTACATCAGTAAGGCTTAGCGTCAGCACTCCGGCCCCTCCTTCCTCTTCGGGCAGCTCCCAGAGCCTCCGCCGCTCGTTTTTCGATTCCTCGAAGGTAAACGAGCCGAGATTAGGCCTATTTCTCCCGCTCCCTGGCCCCGTGTCCCGACAGGTGATAACTTCGTAGTTCCCGAAGGCCGGATCACACAGGAGTAGGATCATCGTTCCCTCATGCTTATTAAAGAGCAGGGTCTCTGTCCGGCACATAAACGATCTCCCCAGGAGGATAGAGTGATCGACATCGAGCATAACGAAGAAACAGGTCCTTGCCCGTACCTTCCCAATCTCTATAATCACATTAGACACCGTGCCACAAAAGGCCGCCTTGCAGTTGGCGCCATACAGCATACCATGGTCCAAACGGTCAATCTCCATTCCCAACATCATTGCTTCCCTTTCCCCGATAATGTTCATCTCCGCGCCCGTATCCACCATCCCGCTGCATTTATGGTTCTTTACCACCAAATCCACCTGGCCACATGCCACACACTTCCAGTCCATCCTCGTCCTTGCCTCAGTCCATTCTACCTCCCTTGGCAGGATCGTACTCAGATGGACATTGGGCACTAGCCTTCGCGAGAGCCGCCCCTTCAACCCGTCACGGAGCCTTGGTGCTGATGCTAGGATATCCTTTAAGTTCATCAGGTCATTATGATCTTCCAGGAGCCTATCTACCATTCGCTCCACATCGAAATCCTCTTCCAGCTGAACTGTGTACTTCTTCCTCTTAGGTACGCTGCCAGGCAGGTTTGGCTCAACTTCCCCTTAAGCCCCTCTCTTCTTAGCCCTTAACTCCGCCCGCCGATCCTCCTCTTGCCGGAGCCTCTCATCTTCCTCGTCGTCATCCTCCTCATCCTCTTCAGGGACTTCCACTACCTCTTTCCTGCATCTGGGCTCAGGCTCCTTTCGAGGAGGTGCCTGACAAGGCGCCTCGCTGGGTTCCTGACTGGTTCCAGCCTTGATCTGGCTCCTGGTCCGCGTTGCCTGTGGCACTCTTCCATGCGACGTGGGGGGCCTATAGGTCATACCCGACCTAGGTCCCGACCCCACAGTCGCAACCCTTGGTTACCCCTGCTGCCCCGACGAGGATTCGGGCCCGGACCCATAAAGAAAGACTCCGGGGAGGTTGGCCTCCCACTCTCGGGTCTCGTCATAGAAATCCTGTAACTTCTGCTGGTACCGACTCATTTTTCCCAGAAAGTCCTCCATCTTTTCCAAGATGGTTACGACCGACTCTCTTTCCTCTCCCAACTCCTCGTCATCTGACTCGACGACTCTTGGCTCCTCCTGTATCGTCCCTGCCTTTAGCCGCTGAGTCACCTCCTCGTTGTCTCCCGCGATTTCCTCAACCCTTACGGCCAGGTCTTCTCTTTCCTGCCACATCCTGAACATCGCTGAGGGTGCTGGCCCTGCCGCCACTTGCCTCTAGGCCTCTTTCCTGACTCCGCCTGGAGTCCTTGGGTCAATATACTTTCCAAATTTATCGTATATATCCCCGTCCATATTGGTGGAAGTCAACCCAGACAACTCATCATCCCGCCGCCATTGGCAAAACCGTATAGTGTGGCCTTGATAGCCACAATGACGACAAATAACATTTCTCCAATCGAAGCAGGGCTTTCCGTACCCTTGGCCCCCTTCCTGACCACCCTGGCCGCTTTGATTGTGGCTCCCTTGGTCGTTCCATCCACCACCACGACCCCCGTCGTTCCTTCCTTGGCCTCGGCCACCGCCTTCTCGACCTCCCTGGCCTCGGTCTCCATTGCCTTGTCCGCCTTGCCCCTGGTTCCCTCCTCCGGCCACGTTAGCCTACGATACCTGCTGCGAGGGCGGAGGTGGGGCCACGAATTGACTCTGGGCGGCCGAAAAGCTTGGCGCCCCTGCACTTGCCGGCGGGCCTGAATAGGGAACCATCGGCCCCGGGGGAACCTGGCCCCCTCCCCATGAGGTACACGGATTATAAGGGGGCCAAGGCGTCATTGGAAAATAGGGCATCCACTTCCCATATGCCGTCGGTGGCCCCATCTGCAAGGGCCCCGCTATCATAGGCGCACTTGCGGCAGCGGCCAGTGGCGCCACGACTGCTTGTGGAGCCTTCCCTTTTCCAGAGTCCTGTCCGCCTGTCAATAAATTGCGTTGTTTCCGCGGCGCCTTGGTCAGGGCCTGGGAACCCGTTTCCTCCCCATCGTAGTCCTCGTGTCCGGCCTCCTCATCCACCACCCGTAACACCCGGCCTTGGGCTACGGTCACCACCCTTTTCTGCACTTCAACCTCATTGCCATAACCTACCTCTGCCAACACGTCTGTGACGATCCTCTTGACCCTTGGGGTCCCAGATGCGGTGGCGTCCCTTTCCTTCCTTTTTCGCCTCTGTAGGCGCATCTGGTGTTGCTCCACCTGTTCCAAGTTCCCGTCCTCTACTCCCTTATCGATGGTGGCCCAGATGAGCTTCTCACTTCCACCCCCGTGGCTCGTAAACTCTGATGCTTTCGAGGCGGTGAGCAACCCCAAGAAGATGGCGCACTGTGCCTCCTCAGAAATCCCGTGCACCTTCCTCGCCTTCTTCTTGAACTCTTGCACGAACGCTCCAATCATTGTGAAGTCGTCCTTATTCATGGCCTCCAGATCGGCCGTAGTCAGCAGGCCATCCCCCAACCTGTACTTCCTTAACATCCTCTCCTTAAACCTTGCCCATCTGTCATTGGCGGCGTCCACAACCTTTCTCACTTCCTGATGGTGTCCGTGAAGGACATACCTTAGAATCCGTCGAAACTTTACTTCATCTGACAGTCCCACCAGTGCCTGCTCAACCGAGTCCAGCCAATCGGAGACCCATTCCCTTTTGAAATGGAACGTGTCAACCTTCGGAACATTGCTCGGCGCCCTCTCGCGCCTATCCAAGGCCTCGACAAGATCGTCGAGCGTCATGGCTTTTCTCGGACTGGCGCCCCCACCTCCCGACATCTTGGCTGGCTGCTTCCTTCTCAAACTTCCTGTTAAGAAAAGAAATAGAAAGCCTCATTCAACAACCCGACTTGACACACTTCTATCAGGCTTCCTACATTGTTCTTGCATTCCCTTGGTCTAAAGAATACCGTCTCTACTCCCAGACTTACTCTAATAGAGTCTGTTCCTATCACGAGACTTCCTATACAATCTTTTCAATCACACTATCACTTCAACTACCAATCAGATTTATTAGTAGTCAGTTCTTACATACGCATAACCACGCAAGGCATCATACAGCTCACTCATCGCCTATCCAATCATGTTTGATTCTCTCTTATTCCCATACCCGGATGTCGTTCCACCAGGAACAACGGTAGGCTTCCGTTATCCCCGGCAACGGCGCCACTTGCCCAGCGCATCGGTCCGGCACCGCACAGGGCAGCGCGGGACCCTCCCGGCCATGTCACGCAGGAGTTGGTTTATATCCTTCGTCGCAAATATACATGGAGCTTCCGCAAGCCGCTCCAACCGAGTGCGCCAACCACACCTCCCGCGAGCCCCTACGACAGGATAGGGCCTACGCGAGGCACGACTTACCTCCACCTTACGGGAGCTCTCACCTCCCTTCGGTGGGCGTATCCCCGCCGAGCTACCAGTCCACAGTACGGAAGTTGATCGGTTGCAATCGCAGAGGTGGACCAGCCGAGGGCGTTTCTCGTTCGCTGTAGCATAGGGGGTACGCGAGGTAGTATGCCTCTATCAGACCCGCACGCGAACCGGCGCACTGAGGAGGCTGAGATCCCAAGCGCGGCCCGTCGTCGGTCGACTAGGACGTATCCCACTCACCACGTGCACACCACTCTACGACACAAAAATAAAACACACACACAATGACACTCACGAAATGACACAACACAAACAATGCGACACCGCTCCTAGTCCCTTTGTAACCATCCCACAACTTTCCGATGCGGAGTCGGATGGGCACCGCACGGGAGACTTAGTATAAAACCACGCGGACGCAGGACTAACTCATACCGACTCGCAATGCAAACGTACGCAAGCAGTCGCAATGATGGCGTACTATGTAGTGCCCATAATCAAGCGGTCCCTCGTGGATCCGAGTAGCGCTTATGACACTCAAGTGTCAGACTCGAAGTATCGTGATGGTCTGATCCCTCACGATATTGCACGGCTGAAGGAATAGTCGTGCGGCCGCCGCGAGACCTCCGGCCTTTGGCTTGAGTGTCTTGGCATGCAAGGCAAATAGGCTCTGCACGGGGGCAGATTCCTTCCCTGCAGAGTCTAAGGCTTGGGATGTCCTGGACAACTTGAAGGACCTTAAATCCCGGCCCAGGACCAACGTCCGACTAAGAACCCTCAAGAAGCAAGCAGACACAAAGGAAGGGTCTTCCTTATTTTTCTCAATCCTAACCCTTAAGTAGGCCTTTAGTACGAGACCCCTCACGTCCAACATAGGTACACACACATATATATGCATAGGGGGATAAGTATGTGACGATCACTTCTCACAGTCTCAGTGGGGCTCCTCACAACCATATGTATATGTATGATCGCAGACAGTCAAATCCAAAATCCGAACCACAGAACATACCTGCAATCACATCAAAGAGTCCAACAAAAGTCCACACACTACACGGAGTCAACCCCAACCAATCTCTATACTCATACCCCTCGCTTCAGCGATGCAAGCTCCAACCTCCAGCCAACCAGTCATAATTAAATACTCAGCACCTTTGTTAAATGGTCATTCAATAAAAGTCCGGGTGAAACCTTAACGAAACAATAAAATCACCGGGGCTAACTCCTTGGATTTGTAGAAATTTCGGCAGCGCTTCCCGTAGAGAAAGTAGCCTACCAAAATTTATACAGAGCCTAGTATAACAATGTTCTCAGAAAATGAAAAATTGACCTAAGTAAAAATAAAGTCAACTCAGAAAATGCAGAAATTGAACTAACTATTATCGCTCTAGCACTTGGCGAGCACCCAAAGCAACTACCTGTCAAACTGGAACTCAAACTAAGTAGTGGTCTCACTTAGTCATATGCATGCCAAACCACAAAGGTAAGTACTCTCCCCATCCCAAAGTCAACTTAGCAAACAATAGTTCATAGTCTTTCAATGCTTTATCCCTTTATACCCAACTTACATGGGGCATAAGGTCAAGACACCCAAACTTATGGAATGAACCTTACCTTAGCCAGGCCTAAAGTCAGGTCACCCAAACTTATGGAATGAGCCCAACTTAGCCGATGTATACACAAACACAGGGCACAACAACTTTTCTCTTCTTTGGGCATATGACTAGGTCATTCTAGTCGCCCCGATCTGTTCAAATAGCCAAGTTATATATACCTCTCTGAACTTAATCTTCAAAGCGCGCAGTGGACTGAGCCATTCATCTTAGAAACAATGCTCAGCCGGCCCAAGCTACCTTCAGTTATACTCTTAATTATACTCTCTTCAGATTGTGATAGGCTATAGTCAGACCACCTAAACTTATAGAACAGTCTAATTAGCTCGTTCATAGGTAGAACAATAGTAAAATATAACCAAATTATAACATTGGGTTCCAACATGTGCGGGCTTCGAGTCAGACCACATAAACTTACAGAACAGTCTGACTCTCTGCCTGATTCATTCCTCTCTGATCCAAGTTATTCGTGGCATTGGGCTAGACCACCTGAACTTACAGAACAACCTGCCCTTTATCAAGTTCATTTTCTCAAAATAAAGCAGGAAGAGGTTGAGTCACCTAAACTTATAGAACGACTCAGACCTCCTCGTTCAGAACCAGATAAACAGAGAAAACCCAAAACAATCAAGGCAACCAAGGCACCTGAACTTACAGAATGCATTTGGCCCCTGAAAAAGTCAATCACACGCAACCCTCTCAAGTCTGAGCAACCAGACCACCTAAACTTATAGAACAGTCTGGTCCTCAAGGCAATCCCACAACACTAGGTCTCCCCAAAACTTATGAGGACTTCCCAGTCTCCAGAGCAGTCAGACCACCTAAACTTATACAATGGTCTGACGCCCCACACACAATCCAAAATAAACAAAGCACTGGGTCTCCCCGAACTTACGAGAACCTCCCAGCCTTGACAACCCAGTTAAAGCTCACGCAAAAACAGCTTCTCATCCTGCCCTTTCCCAGATGCAATCTCTTTAAACAGTCCGTTTTCACACCGTCAACAAAAGTTGAAACTGAGATTGCCCAAACATTCTTTTATTTAATCTGGTTTAAGTCCTGAAAGTCAGACAAAAAGTCAAAGTAGGGTTGCATACCATATACTCAGTCAAACATGCAATGGGCAATACAGATAGGGGCTATAATTTGGGTTTATAGAGGGGGATGGAAAGTTACCTTACAGTTCTCTGCCTCTAGAACTCCTCCTGAGTTCCGGCAGAGCTCCCGCAATCGGTGGGGTAACCTCCCACGTAGGCCTTGCTGCGGTCCTACGGGTTGCAATCCCGCCTGCCGCCTTCCTCTCAGAACAAGATCAGACTTAAAGTAAGACGGGCAGAAGAAGAAGCATTTAGTCTCTCAGATCCAAGGGAGGTGCACACAGACTCGCAGGAGAGGGCCTTGTTGCCTTGATACGCCTGAGGGCCCCGCAATGGCGGCCAAAACTGTAGCAGCTTGGTCGCATCGAAGCCAGCCTCCGAGCCCAACTCCCTGACGACTACTTAAGCAACAACAACAACCTCTCTTGCAGCCCATTTGCCCCCTACACTACTCCTTTGCTTTCCATGACCAAGCCACGGCCCCACCCCGACTCCAAGCAGTAATATTCAAACAGTGCAACAGTCCGCAGTAGCTCCGCATTCGCCGCAGCAGCACAGCGGTGTAGCAGTTCGTAGTAAGCTCAGCAACCGCCGCTGCAGCACAGCAATTGCGGCAGCTTGTCAAGTCCTCAGCAAAGAGAAGCAGCAAGGGATACTGCAGCCCTCTGAGTCAAACTCAGTAGCGGCATGTCCCGCGCATCAACGACAGCAGCTTCTCAGTAACCCCGACAACAATCTGTAGGCTGGCTTCTTAACAAGTGCCAAACAACCCACTACTCAATGGCTGCATGTGCCCATCAACTGATCAGGCTACCAACATGCTAAGTGAGAAGGAATCTCTCTCGAGATTAAGGAAGATACATCGGTTCCCAGCCTTCCTCCGCTAACAGCCTATGCGCAGCCTACCAACTTCGTGATGCCGATCCCTACGACAAGCAGATATGTATCGCTCTCTCCCTTAGTCCCTTCTTTATTCGGTGCACTTCGCTGATGCCCCGACTCCTACAGCTTTTCACGTACACCTACTGTGACAACGACCATGCCTTCTTCTCTCTTTTTCTTGTTGTTGTTGTCCCACTTTACCATAGGCATAGTCACTACCAACTCGACTTACTCCAGTTGTGGGCAATCTTCGTGGCGAGCCAAGCCAAGACCTCGGTCGTGAAATAGTGATTGAGCCACGATAGTGACCGCTGGAACAGGCTCTGAGCGAGACAGCGCCAATATCCGTGATGATGAACTCCGGTAGCAACGAACACCTGAACCTGCCTATGTAGCTAGACCGGCTGAGGTCCGACGGAGACCAGCTGCAGGATCGAAATCAGTCACGGTTCGTTATTGAAAAGTTCGACCAGAATTCGTCCGCTCCCCCGCTAACCCGAACGCATTCGCCCGTACACTGCGCTTACTAACTTGGCTCGAATGGCGAATTCCCTCATGTCGCCCCCTTTCTCAGCAATTGGTTAGTACCATAGTGGCGGCGATCGATTCAAGTGCTATGGGCAACGATCTTCGGTCACCATAGCCACCACGCCCTGGCAACTCTCGTTCTCCTTTACGATCCCCCCCCCTCCTTAATCCCGTCTCCTTCCCGCTTTGCTTCTCCTTCGCTCCGTCGTAAACTCCACGCACCGTTCTCCGTACTTACTTCTATTTCTACTGACTTTCTTCTCCTCCTGACTACGTAATCGGGGTCGCAAGGCCCAGGAAACCCCGATTCGTGCCCCATCTCCCCGGAAACTGGTTAGAAATGAGGGAGATAAGCACCTTCCTACTCCCCCTCTTTCTTACTCCCGCCACCTTTCGCGCAGCCTACTTCTCTCCTACCACCATATC